TACTCATTGTCGCCCCCCTCCCTCTCGTTGATGTACACTCATATATATGGTCGGATACAAAACAACTTCGCAAAAGTCTTTTCTCTTCTATTTAAATTTTTATTCTTCGATATTAATATGATATTAAAGCGAAAATGACAAATAGTTTAATTAGAATTCTCATTTCTGAAAAATATTGACTAAAACTTGTCCGCCACCACCATCTGCCATAATCCAAAAGCTGAAAGTATAGTTTTCGCCAATGGTGAGTGAAACATTCTGCACAAGGAAGTCTGGTTTAGGCTGGGCAGCATCTTGCCAGTAATAAATACCCGAATGATTTCGACCTCCTGCTACTGTCATTATAAGGCCCGCATAGCCGGAATTGTGTGGATTGCAGTAGATCCAATATGTAATATTACCCATTTCGAATCCACCGTTAAGTAATAATTCTGATCCATTGAAGTTTATAAGAGAGAAATCATCAAAATCCCAGTAATAGGTTAGTCGTTGAATGCTGATCGTGATCAATGCACTTGAATAGATAGCCGTGAAATTATACTCGTACAATGAATAAGAAAAACTATAGTTCATTGTCAAATTGATAGCTATCATGTTAATTCCAGTCGAACAGACGTTTGACATACCTAAAATTCAACAACATTTGTGAAAGTATTAGATTAAGCAATGTTTCTCTGAAAATACAATGTAGCTCGTAGTTTTATAATATCTAGATAACAATCCAATACACTCAAGTTAATCTCTTACCTGTTGTGGGACATGTCTCCGGAGTACAAACGAGATCAAAAGAATCCGAACGGCATTCATCTTGTTGACTGCAACTTTCTCCAGCATATTTTTGATTTTTACACAGTAATCCATCCCAGTAGGTGTTAGGTGGACAAGCGCATACTTGATTGACACAAATAAGATATCGATTCATTTGACATCGATCACATGTTAGTCCATAGGCAATGTATAGAGAAGCGTCGAACGTAATAGAACCAACTTGAGAGGAGAGAGAGGCGGAGCTGACTAATTGCCCAGTTGATACCTCTCTTTCGAAGAGTCGACACCTATTGCTTTGGATGTCATAATCAAAAGTGCGACACTGGGAATTTTGATTGCATTGTTGGACACACCGTATGAAAGATATTTCCCATGTGGTAGAAAGTAGCTCTACTGAGTTTGCTGGTGAGAACACTATTCCCAAGCTACTCAAAGCAATATCACTTTGATAATCCATAAGAACTACTTGGGACAACCACATGCAATAAATTATCATAAAAAAGCGACGATCGTGGCACATTTTGCTGGATACTGACACCTTTATTGATTCTATGTTTCTTTTTATCTCTAGTTTTAAAATAGAAAAGAAATATTGGCAATAGTATATTTAAACTACACATGATTCAATTCTTGTGCAGTTTCAATGGCTCTCCATTCATGTGATCTCAGCTCTGACATCGTATGCTTATTTTCAAGTGTTCTGATCGCAACTTATTGGCACACTTTCCCAGTCAGTGAAAAAATTCTCGTTTCCTATAAATAATATGGTGACTTACTTTCGATAAAAAACTAATTCATTAGAAGATTCGTACCGGTCTTAAATAATTTGTTCTTTGTTGAATAATACAATTGAAAATGAGTTCAGAAATTATTCGAAATAGTTTATACAAGATCAGTTTCCTCTGTTATCAAATCATATCATCAAAAGAGAGAAAACTTGTACTAAAACAGTTGATGCGTCTGGTAGCAGATTAAAAAAATACCTATATCATAGAAACTAAACGTTTGTTAGATGTTTTCTTATATACAATCGAGTCTTGTTGCTGTTTCTCACATCAATAGTTTGAAATCAAGAGAGGATAAACTTACTTGCACTTCGGCTCTGTGTTAGAAGAGTGATCTCTTTACTTTAATAGTTCAATGAATAAAGAAAAAAGAATGAACTTTTATCAAATTTTCTTTTTTAGCATATTTTTTTCTTACTTTATTTGCTAAATTCATTAAATATGATCGATGAAAACAAACATCAATAGTTTTGTATCCGTTAGTTTACTCATATTCTTAAAAAGTATTTATTTTTCATAAATTATTTTTTTCTTCTTTTTCCGACTAATCGTTTCTATATACAATGTTTTCTTAGAGATAAATACATCATTATTTCAAAGAGAGTGTCATACAGTATTTATATACATGAAATCAGTGTTGTTGTTGTTGTATCATATAATATATATTGTTCTCAGTGGGTTTTTTTGTGCTGTGTGATGTTATCGAAGTAATTTGACGATATTACACTGTTGTATTACAACATACGAGTCAATATTTTTCATCAAAAACATTTACCTCTTTAGAATTCTAGTTACAACATGAATGTGCAATTAAATTTAGATGTTTTTCATACTCTAGCAAACAAATCAAAGGAAAGACATTATAGTAATAAGCATGAATATGATATTTTTGTTGTATTGCATGAGTGAGAAAATGATATGCAATAGTAGTTGATGTTTGATTTATTGCATATGAGGATAGCCTAATGAATCGTTTTTTGTCGATTGAAAACAATTTTCTTCATTTCTTTATTTGTATATATATACACACAACTATTCTTATAGTTTCATAAATCAGTTTTCATTGTACTCTAGTTTTAGTCTATATCACATCATTACTATTAATATGCCAGTCTGTTGTCGTTCATCATGTCGCGGTTGCTGTGGCAGTTGTTGCTGTGATTCATGTTGTGATCCATGTTGCAGCCCTCGTTGTAATCTTTGCTGTGGTCCTTGCTGTGGTCGACGATGTTGTGTACGTAAGACTGTGTGCTGTGCACCAGTCAAAGTTATCAAAAAGACAACTGTCACTGTTCGTAAATCATGTAAAAAAGTTTGTTGCTGCTAAGATGAAGATTTTTGATTGTTTTTCTATGAACTTATTCAATATAACATAATAAACTCAGGGATAAAATAAGTACATTGTTTATATTATATTAGAAGACGCAGATTATTTCGTGAAAGAAACATCTAATGATTTTAGTGATTATGAAATGATAGTTAAGTAATGATATTGATATGAACTTATCATTGTTGTTCTCCCAAATAGTATACTTTGCAACATATCTGGTTGCAAAATGAATTCATCGAAACAGTTGATTTGTTGTGTACTAAGGTAAAATCATGTAAATGAACGTGTTTTTCAGCAACAGAAACACGCAAAATACATAAGAGCGAAGGTGTTTTGTGAGTATCCTGTTTCATCTGCACCCACACTCTGATTATTTTGATTATCGTCAAAAAATTCCAAATATATTTTTACAATCAAATTCAAATTTAAAAAATTATTAAACCTGCACCAACTAAGATAAATATAAAAAATGATATTGCATCTTCAAAATTTTCTAAGATAACTTGTATTTACATGGGACATTCAGTTCGATAAGATAATTAATATATAAATTGAAGGTGTAGAAATCGATACTCTATGTATTCATTTCTGTTCTGTTCATAAAATGTTGCTAAAAAAAACGAGTATAATCTTATAAAGATCCTGTCGAGAAATATGACAACATTTCGAGGAAACCTAATGAAATATTCAGAGATATAATCAGAAATCTTTTTTTTATTATAGTTATTTTTTGTCAAAATTCAAAGTTATTAAAATAGATAGTTAGTTCTAATATTTATTGATTCGACTATTTGAGAATGAAGATTCATTAATCGATTAATCATAAAATATTTCATAATTGATTGGGTGTTCTTGCTATAGCAATAGCAACTTGCGCCGGTACAATTCTTCGATTGTTATTCTTGCAAGTAATCATCTTGATAAATTCCCATCGAAAATCCTTAAATGTAATCAAATAAAGTGGAAATGATGTTATATGATATGTATAAAGAATTGAATCTAATATTTTTGCAAGATTAGTTGGAGGTGTACTGACAAAAAATGCAGCAA